GCCTTCTCTTGGGTGGGGCAGATTTTGGGGGGGCTGCATTCAGTGGGGGCTCACAGGCCTGGCCCATCTCAATGCTGGCCGGGTTCCCTTGGGGGAGATCAGTGCTTTGGGGTCTGTCCTCCTCAGGATGCACGATGTGCTTCTCAGCACAGTGACTCTTGAGGGCCCGCCGCGAATGGAAGGCCTTGGGGCACAGAGAGCAACAGAACAGTTCCAGGCTTCGGCACGCGTCCTCCACATGGGAGGTGATGGTGGAGACACGGGAGCACATGAAGGAGCAGGCATTGCAGTGCAGCTTCCCTCCCTCCAGCCGGTACTTCTCTGATGGTTTCCCAGGCTGGGGGGGACAAGCAGTTCCACCTCGCTCAGCCCCATTGCCTTGCTGGGGAGGCTCTTCTGCCACCTCTGTGCTGTCACCTGGCAGGGACTTCTCAGGGGCAGGACAGCTCGAGGCCCGTTCCCCAGCCAAAGGACTGCCTACTTCCTCTGTTTTATCAGGCAGCAGTTGAACTTCCCAGGGGCTCTTGGCATGCCCAGACTCTTCCAAGCCTCCCCTCTCACTCTCCGCCATTTCCGTACCATTATCACCAGGCTGATCAGCAGGCTGGCACAACCCAGGTGGCTCCTGACCAGCTGGTTTGAGGATCTTGTTCTTCTTCAGGAGGACCGGGCACTTCTTGAGGAGATGGGTGTTGAGCCCCCTTTGTTGTTTAAAGCTGGCGCCGCACTCGCGGCACACAAGTGGGGCACGGCGGCTCTGGCAGCTGGCCTTAGAGTGCAGGGACATGGACTTCTCCTTCCGCGTAATGTATGAGCACTTCTCGCACTTAAAGATCTGGCTCTCTGACTGCAACACCAGCATCTGCACCCTGCCCTCCAGCACCAGCGTCTCTGCCTGCTCCTTGTCCTGCTTCCGCAGTGCCTTCAGTAGTGACTCTGAGCCACCGCTGGCATCATCACCGGAGGTGGCAGTTTCTTCTGGGACAGGTGGGTGGCTCTGTTTGGCTGTCTTAAGCACACTGAGCCAGGCCTCCGGCAGCTTAGCTTGGCTGGTCTCTCTCATCTCGGTGTCTGCCACCAGCTTGTGGTGGTCTGAGCACAAGCCCTCGAGGTGGCCCATGGCCTCCCTTTGGGCGTCTTCTTCCTGACTGTCTCCTGCTGGTACCCTGTCCTCCAGCCTCACCACCTCATCCTCCTGCACATCTGCCTCCTCTTCCTCAAAGTCT